GGAAGATTGGCATCACGACCACAGCCATTTTCAAATTAAGATCATTTCCTCCCTTTTTCACTATGATTGAATATAATTCCCAGTTTAGAGGAAAACACAGATACATGCACAAAGAAACAATATAACCCCTAGCCAGTTTCCTGTGTGGCTGAAGTTCTACCCTTAGCATCAGGGTGCATCAATTATCTTGGTCATCACCCCTCTCCCTTACCCATCATTCTCACTTTGGGCTTCTGATAGAGGCAGACCTTCAAGACCACTTTCCTCATCTACCTTAAAGACACAGCAAGAATCTTTTATTAACATATATTGAACCTAAGGGGCCACACCTCAGCAGCCTCTTTTGACATTTCATCTTTGTAGCAGATATACATCCAGACATTTCCCCTTCACATTTTAAGTTAATGTACTGGCAAATTCAGTCTTTTTCCCACTCCAGCATATGCATGGTAGATAACCCAGATGAGCTAGAGCAGACCATGATTGTCATGGTTTCTCAGCACAGGAGGAGATCAGAGGGACTGCGTATAACTCCCCTGATACTTTGTGGAGTCAATATGCCCTCATCCAAAAGAATTAGATGTAGCAGCTCTCGGTTCACCAGATTTTTAACAGGCATAACAACACTTTTGGATTAGTAGTTAGGACAGCCTTAGCCATGACAGCATGGTAGAGCACAGACCACAGACCTGCAGTTGTTTCTTAAACCAGCGTTGTTTCTTCTTACCTACATGGTAATCCGTCATGACAGTCTGTTTGATTTCCATAATATAAAACAGTTCAAAAATATGTCAAAATATTTTCCAGTCAGTTAGTTGAAACTGAGCATTTTTTAGTTAAAAAAAAAAGTTGCTGAAGCATTTTGTGAGAGAGTCTGGTAAGCCCATTGTTTGGGGTCTGCTTTTAAGCCCCTGTTCTTCAATTTCCTGAGTAGTGCCTTATGTCACAGGTTGTAATCACTTCCATCCTCTGCGATATTTTAAATATACCTATTTTAATCTACAATCATTAGAAAACACTAAAACACTTCTATAAAGCGAGTTTGTCTTTCTAGCCATGTAGCCATTTTTCAAGGTATACCAAATACTACTGCTTTTTATCTCCCAACTATTTGAAAATGATGCATTAATCAATAAGTACAAACACTTGAGACAGTATGGAGTTTAAGATGTTTTTTCTGTTAACCATTCACTGAACAACAAGGTTGGGTAACCCCACGTTATCAAGAAATTCCCCCCCTTCCTCCCCCACATAAGTTCTTTTTCTCTAAATAAGGCAAAAGACTCATTTATTTTAGGACTTCTAGAATTTCATCTTTTATGAGCTAAAGATGCAGAAGAGTATCAAATCATTCACTAAAATTCAGTACGCAAGATGAAGAGAAAGTAAAGCTTTATTGTATCTGTGATTCTTCCTTCTGGACCAAATGTTTTTTTTAAAGTATTTTTGCTTTTTATTTAATTATTGAAAATAAAACTAAGTTTCACAAACTTAGTGTCTTTCATGAGGGGGCAGGGAGCAAACCTCCTGGATCCACGTAATACATAAATAGGGTATAAGTAACGAGTGAAGTAAAGAGTGAAGATCATGGAAGTGAACCAAAGAAATTCATTTGAAGCATAAACTATGTACAAGCCCATCTATACAGGCTACTGTGCATGCTCAGCTTTGATTATCAACATCTTCAGCAAGTCCACCAAATAGTTTAAAACATTTCCAACTTAGAACTTTTGGATTTAATTTTGAATGTATTTTATAGCACTAAGCAAAGTATCTTGAACACATTCTGAGGCTGAGCAAGAAACTGCATAAGTGCTTAAATTTTATAGTGACCTAGTTAAAACATCATTCTCCATGAGGACCTTCGTAAATAGGGTGTACTATGTTTCTAATATTCAGAGAAATATGCTTCAAGCACATTGCTTATCTGTTATATTGGTCTGCCATCTGTAGGTCACTGAGAAAATTCTTTATTTCTGCATAGTAATGAACAAAGCACTCAAATGCCACTTTTAAGTAGACAGTAATTATAAATATTATTACATTACATGTACATTAATGTACAGCTGACTTGCAAATCAATCCAGACATGGGATCACTAAATACTAGGTATCACTGGATACTTAGCACTCTCCCCAACACCTCCAAGAAACGTCACAACCCACAGCACATAGCTGGTCTGTTATCCTTAGCTCTAAGGGCATTTCTGGATTATTAAGGTGCACGTTGCAGGCTCACAAATGGACATTTACAGCTTGGCAATGCCGGCTTCTTAGCCCTATGCTTTCAGACCTCTTATCTGTGGTACACTATATTGCAACTATAGTTAGTATGTGTGTATTTATACAAAAAATACACATGTACACACATTCTTCCAGACCATGAGATTTCTCTGCATGTTTCTTCCAAGTGTCACACAGGCAGTGGTTTTCAGGGACGTCATATAAAGAGAACCAACCTGATAACTTCAGGTTGTAAAATACTTTTTGATTTGGATGTCCTCAGCCAACCTCAGCTGCAATTAGTTGAGAGCAGTCAGATTCTGCAGCGCACAGGAATTGCTGCATCTGCATGTCATGATCACAGATGTAATTTAGACTGCTCAGTAGAACAAGTGTTTCTTTAGAGATTGCTATCATAATAGGAAGGAAGCAGAAGATGAAATAACTCAGGAATAGCTGACACAAGGTACAGATAGCAGGCTCAGTGCCAGGATCTCCCAGATTCAGGCAAGCTGTCTAGCACATTCCAGGGTGTAGATTAAGTTATGGTCCACTGAGATCGTTGTCACACCAGCACAGACATGCACAAATTCTCCATAGGTCCATGTGTTCTGCATTGTGGTGACAAGCTTTTTATTATGGGTAAATTGCTTGGAGACACTTTCCTGCTATACTTCAGAAGCTTTTTTTTTTTTTCCCCTGGAACTAAATGCAGAAGAACCTTTTAGGTTTGCATGTCAGTGAATAGGGTCATGCAATATGCAGTTGCTCATCAGCAATATTAAGCATTTGTAGTGATTACCTTCTACACTGAAGTGCATGGGGATAGGTTCCAGTCTATACTTTCTACCTGAAATCAATGGTTCTTAGCCATCCTCTGATACTACTTAAGGACAGAGATACTCTTATTCAAAAAAAGCTTCAGACCACTGAAGTGATTCCACACAGCAGTGCCAAGTATCATACGCCAAGGAACATCTGCACTGCACCATATATTATTGATCTGTGCTCAGAAACATCTCAAGCATCCAAAGCAAATAGCTTCAGACCAAAAATCAGCCATGATGGCCCTGCTTAGACCAGTTACAGTGGGACTACACTGCTTCCAGAGCTCTGGATACTGCTCCCAAACAAAGCTGTCTTGCACAACATTGACGTATGCATATTCACTTGGAGCAGCTGATGTTTTCAAGATGCAGCTGTTTTGTACATTACAAACATGTACAAAGAGACAGTAAAAGCACAGTTAGTGTAATTGTTCAGCCCAGCCAGAATTTGTGCCCAAGCCTGAAAGATGTCAACTATCACAAAGGAGCAAGTAACTGAGGAGGAGAGGAACAAATACTCAAAACAAATCACACCATCCCTTACTATCCCCATGTAGATAATAAAACAAAAACACAATTTCATCATTCCTTTTCATATAATTAAGAGTGTTTTTGCTTAAAAAAAGCTGTATGTTACTCAGAAAAATGAACCCCCACCTCAGTTATCCTGTCCTTTCTTCTCCAGATTTTAAAGAAATATCTAGTGATGACACACGTGTCCAATGCACATTATAATCTTTTCTTTCTGAAATCTGTATTGAACTCTTCATCCAGAAACACATTCTTAAAAATGTGACTTAGAAAATGTATCATACTTAGAAATACATCATACTAATTTATCCAAAAGTCAAAAACTCAGCCAAAGTTAACATCAGTGAAATTAACCTAAGTCTTGGATGGCAGCAAAGCTGGAGTTTCATCTAATTTTCAGAACAGCACAGGAGGATGTTTTCCATATTTCCAAAAAATCACCACATTGCCTTAGAGGAGGGAAAACAGGGTCAAGTACTCCTGCAGAACAACCTGCAAGCAAATGGAAACTCTGCAAGGGATTATCCGTGTCATTAGCAGAAGCAAGAGCAGACAGCCTGCCTGTATCCTGAAGACCTCCTCACCCTTTGAAGAGCCTTGGGCTTATTGTTTGTCCAAAATATGCCTATAACTCCCCAATCCTATGCAAGTATCCTTGCTGTAACACTGAATTAACTCAAAGTTAACTAACAAAACTATATCCTTCTACATTGGCAGTTTCAAAAACAGGAATATCACCAGGAGGATCAGCCAGTAGATGGTAAATCAAACCACAGAGCCAAGTATCCTCTTTTAGACAGGTGCCCAGTAGCAGATCCCCAAGAAAGCATTTGCACTTAAACACAGAACTGATACTTCCCTTGGAGTATCAGTATCCTATTTATGATGACATGTTCTGCAAGTACTTCCTTTCTTATTAAATACTCTGGTGGAGTTTTTTTTTTTCCCTTTTGTGCAATCCTAAATATTGCAACCTAAATCCTAAAATGCTATTTTCAGGGTTCCTACAAGTTTACAACCTCCTCACTCTCCTTTGGAAGAGAATCCTTCAACACACCTGTATTTCTGATACTTATAGTATCAGAAACATAATCTGTCATATATGAAATAATAATAAAGCTACAAAAAACACACTGCGACCCCAGTAAAAGCTCAACCAAACAACAACAATAAAAACCCTGTCATCTGATGTCTGATGAACCTTGAACTAGAGGATTATGTTGTGCAGACATCCAAATACTTAGATTCAGACTGCCACACAAGTTCTTTTAATCTAATCCTAAACTGCCTAAGGAACAAACAGTGCTGTACATCACTCTGTTGTTTCAAAGTATACACAGCTACAGCCAAAATACAGATTTAGCCTTAATGTTGAGAAATGTTAAATTCAGAGGAGGATTTCCTATTGTGCAGCCTACAGCTGCGGGCTCAAGTGTTCCACCACGAGACACAGCATGTGTGCAGCCCACAGCTCCAGCACGAATCCAACTTGTGTCCTGGCCAGGGAAAAAATTCCTAGCGATCCCGTAACTACCACACGATTATAACTGTCACAAATACCAAGACTCGCGGGAGAAAATCTGGGACTGGAAACTTGAACCACTGTTCAGAACATGAGACACGAGGTATGGTTCAAATTATTTTACTTTTTGAATGAACTTTTTATGTAAAAGCCTGTCTATGGAAAATAAATTGGAAACAAATCTGAAGTTACATCATTGCACATCTGTGAGGTAAGCGATCCACTTCAAGTCTGTTCTCATGGCTTGAAAATTGAGCACACATAAAACTGCAGTGATCTCAGGTGAGATGAGGTGATCTTTGATGAAGGACCAATTGGATTATTATAAACAACTTGCTATTAAGATTATAGTGCCATTTCAAAAAAGGTCTAAATACAAATTTGGTTCAACATGGGGACATACCTGGGCAACTACTCCATGGTTTCTATTATTTTGGAAGCCAGACCAACTTACCTAATTACTCTTTTCAATTAATAAACATTCTATAATTACTGATTTACTTAAAAATATTTTTATTGCTCAGTACAGGTGTCTTGTAATCTAAGTAGAAAGCACTTCATGATGAGAAGGAAGATAAGAGCAATATTAGCTTTGTGATGAGGACCAACAAATTGTTTGAATCCTCGTAATTTCTCTTGCCACAGAAGTGACAGACCCTAACATACTCAGATACTTGACTGCTCCAGCTGTGAAAACAAACTTTTCAAAGTTCCCAACCAGCAGGCTTTCACATTTCTGGGAAATGAAACACTACTAGTTGTTTTATTTATGGTATCTTTGCTTTATGACAGTTAATGAGCTGTAATTTTATAAAAGAGAACAAAAACAATACTTTGTGCCATCACAAATAGCCATCAGCATTATTTATTGCAGATGTTTTAATCTATTATGGTAATAATGAAACATTCATTGTTTTGCTACCCTGAGCAATCTGTGAGAAATTTAAAATGACAAAAGCTGCCCCCCTCTTCCCCCTGAAGCTTTTGCTCCTTTCCAGAAGGTTCAGTTGTGGAAGGGATAATAACACACTTGGTAAAAAAACATAGCTGAAGAAACAGAAAACATACAGAAATAGTATCGCAATGAAGTTTAATCAATGCCTTCTGCAGAATGGAACTGTTCTGTAGACAAGCAGGACATTATAGTCATGATTAAATGGTGAGTGTTAGGTCCCCGATTCACTAATATTCATGTAGAAAAGTTCTACAGAATTTCAAAAATGTTTTTAGTTCTGTAGCTTGATTACAAAAAGAAGTTAAGACCAATGCAGATGCATCCAGACTCTGTCCACATCAGGAGCTACCCTTGCTGTTCAATGATCTTACCAGAGCCAAGGAGACAGGCTCATGCATGCAAGAGCACACCTACCAGAGGTAGCCACACATACAAAGAGCAGTGTATTGACTGACTCTCCCCAAGTTTAACCAACAATGCCATGCTATCACCTGCCTTGTATCAGGGAAGGGCAGTGCTGGAACTTTCATGCAGTTTCTTTGGCTCCCCATCTTGTAAGCAGGGATGAAGGGAAATCTATGATGACTTTACTGCTTGAGCTGCATTGAATTCCACACAAAATTCAGAGGAAAACCAAACCCAACCCAACCCCTGTAGGCTTCCATGACCAATGTTTTGGTTCATGTTCCAGCAAACATTCCACGTTCCTCCTATTTCTCCATTAGCTTAAGAATTGACTAACATAGCCCCATTCGCCTGGTAAAACAAGTAGACAACTTAATTTGTAGCAGGTTTAGCATCTGTCAGGAAAGCAACAAGATAATCATTCACTGGGCTCTATACCTAAGAGACTGGGCAATTACTCAGCTGTCTGGAAAAGACAAAAGCAAAGCTGAAAAATTTGTTGTGTGGTAATCTCAAGTTCCAGTGGTTGACTTTCTGCAACAGCACTAAAAAGCAAGGAGCCCAACTTCCACAGTTCTCCAGTGTTTGCCAGCATTGTCATTTCACTTAAAGTCAACTTTAACCACAGAGGAAATAGATGCTGAACACCAGAAAACAAAGATGTGTTGAGGAAGAAGTCCTATAGCTTAGCAGAAGCTGCTCTGAGTTCACTATTACAATCTTATTGTTAGCATCCAGTCGTAAGGAAGCAAGTAATTTGTCTTTATCACAGTTAGAACTTAATTCTTTGAACACTACTGCATACACTGCTATTAAAATTTAACTGAAAATGACTTCTAGCTGCAGAACACAGTGCTCATGCTCACGGGATGCACTAGCTTACATTCAGCTCCTTGTTCAGGCCACTCAAAGGAGTTCCCAGCAAGCAGCAGCCTCACCCTTGTGTGCCCCAGACTTATGCCTTGTATATATTAGTCAGATCAAGCAACAGCACTAGATGAAGAGTGTGCCTATGTTCCTATCATAACCCTTGATTTCCCCCTCTTCTCACATCAACCTTGCAAGGGGAACACAGACAACCAGGGATCTGGCTCTTCATTACAGCTAATCAGAAGGGCTCTTCAATATCCAAATAATTCACTTAGCAGTCAGCAAAGAAAGGAAACAAAATTGAGATTTATGGAAAAAAAAAAAAAGGCCGCAGTGACAGATGATCACATTATCTTGAAAAGTGCTGCCTATATTCTCTTAATTGCTTCTGTATCAAAAATAGGAACAAGGCTCACAGTTAAATTCTAAAGTGACAATTAAAACTAGTGTTAGGACAGTTGAACCCCATTGCTTTGCTTTAAATATTTTCAAAGTCTTCTGGTACTATTTTCCACTAGCCATAGCACAAGTAGCACCTTGTGACAACCTGTGCTATTTCCCCTGGCAGTGCATTAGAAGCTATGATCACCTAGCCATTTTTATCATTGCTTTTCCCTGCTCAAGCCAAGTCTCACCTATGCCCCTAAACTCTTTTTATTCTTATCTACTTCCACAATAACCATATCTTTACAGCTCTCAGTTTTCCCTTTGAAGTAACTCAGTGATACTATCTATCTGATTCAGAAGGATATAGCTTCTTTAGTTTAAGATTTCACAAAACTAACAAGCTTGGTAATATTCATCTTATGGCAGAGATTTGGGCCTTGATGTTTGATTACGGCTTCCTAGAGGTTGTTTGCAAGAGTGAAGTGTTGCCTGAGCTTTAAATACATAACATGTATGGCAGTTTTTCCACAGACTGTTATACATATCCTCTAAAATGTAAAATAAAGTTAATGCCATTGACAGTACTCAAAAGAGGGTGATGCCCCACTCTTTCCAAATGGAGATGCTGGAGCTTCAAGAGAGTTAGTTACCTTGCTAACAGGATCTGAAGTTAAGTAGAATTCAAAAGTGACCTCTATTTACCATGATGGAGGAGAGTATTTTAAAGCAAGGAAACTATGTTCCCCACAGGTGAGCTAATCCTATAGAGACTTCTCACACATGTAATACTTCACAGAGATTATTGATTCATTGAAGCTATTAAAGGCACACAGATGGCCAAGAATAAGGCACCCACACCATCAAAGATATGCCAGAATTAAAGGACATCATACCCTGTAGGCATAGCATGATTTGCTTTACAAGCTAGAAAGAAGCATGTCTTCAGAACCATAATTTTGAACTTCAGAGCCCAAATGCTTGGCTAAGCACATTCACTGCAAAAAATCTCACTACAGCACACAAAAAATCAGGGAGACGAGGAGTAACTGTGCTGCACACATCATAGACCAATGGTGATGCTAAATGTAAAACGAATGAACTCGGTATGATCTCGAGCAAAAGTGTGTTTCCTAAGGATTAAAGTCAGATGACTGAGCAGGTGCCCTTCATACTTCACAAGGCTAATGATCATTTAGAGATAAGCTAGAACACTTTAAGACAGCAGCTGTTGATGCTAAACAAACACCACAAAAACAACAAAACAACACGTTAAATACCAACAACTCATAACCAGTTGCTGTTAGGAGAGGCAATTACAAACAAGATGCTAGTTTTCTTTACATAGAAACTTGACACACAAACTGTTTGTCTGCCAACACGCCTCTTTCAGCTGGAAAAGTACAAACCTAAAGAAACAGAAGTTTTGTTAAACTACTTCCTTGAAGTTCTTTTAAGAATGTTTTCACAGGGAGGCTATAGCAGCTCAATAAGTATTACTATTGCCATAGTTTCAAAGTACTGGCAACCTAATACACTACACACTGACATTTAAGAACTTTCAGCATAATTATTAATCACATTTTTACAGCATATTACTAAAATCAGGAATACGTGACATTAGACAGTTTTGATGAATATAAATGAAGTTACAATTTACTTATCTTACAGTTGATACCAAGATGCTACTTCAATAGCTCTTCACTGAACTGTATGTAGCTTATTCAGGTGACAGGCCTGCAACTTTATTTTTCAGAGAGTAAAATCCTCAAGTACACTTCAATCACTTATAATCAAAAGGATTCTTCTGCTTTTCATCAGCCTTACTCACTTCAGTGAGACCAACAAGATTCAAACTCTCTTAGAAACTTATTTCCTAAAGCTCACTAGGGAAAACACTGGGAGGTAGGTGAGCTTACCATGTTGATATTCTGGGCTTACTAACAAGAGCATTTGCTTGCTAAGATCAAACACACTCCACACACTGTGTTAAACCACCAGACTCACCGTATCTGAGATTCTGCAATCAACATGAGAGAACAGGAACAAGAGGGGAAAACAACAACAGCAAAACAGGGGGAAGAATAGAAAAAAAAAAAAACAAACACATCAAAATAGTCTGAGAGGTAAACACTGACCTCATAAGTCTAAGCAACTTTGAGAAAATGTTTGAAGAACCCCAGTGAAGGGAAAAAGGGGGAAAAAAAAAAAAGTGTTACCTTCACTTCATCTTACCATGCCAACCAATTTCAGTTACTAACTCAAAGCTAAAGACCACCACCCTATTAACTCCTCAGGAAAAAACTGCTGGGATAACCTAGTTCTCACCTCATTATTTCTTCCTCCCTGCCCCTGCAAGGGGACATACATGAATCACTGAGTGGATCTATCAAGGCTTGTACCTTCTCAGGCTATTTCATCAGTTTTCCAGTGAAATTCAGCAACAATCTTCCCTGACTAGACTGAGGTATTCAGCATCTAAACTTTACTGCTAGAGTTATAGGATTTAACAAAAAAAAAAAAAAAAAAAAAAAAAAAAAAAACTTTACAAGCCCAAACTAAGCTCAGACTAGAAAGTTGAGAATGAAATCCACCAATCCAAAAAGCAATACGTTAGTATTTCTGTAACATAAATAATATATCCCCACGCTTCACAGAATTCTGTAACGCATACCTTCAGCTCCCATGTAACTCCAAAAACTTGATTTCAGCAAAACTATCCTGCTAATGGGCTCCTGTTTTTGATCCCACTCTTCTCTGACAGTGGGCCTGATCCACAGCTGGTATGAATCAATCTCATCACTAAATTTATTTCTGCCAGCTGAGGAAGGGGCCTCTTTTTACACTGCTGCTTGGAGTGTACTGCATTTATTCTACCATTTCTCATCTCATATGCCTTAGAAATAACCCAAAAATGGTTATGTTTCTGACAGATAGCTACACTTTTAATTTTAAATGGCACTTTATTTTGCAATCTTGCCTGTTGAACTCTTGGCAATGAAAACAATTTAAAGATCAATGTGTTAAATAGTTATGGAAATCAGATGCAAATTTTGAGTATTGCAAGAGTGGGTTTATTGCATCAGTCTAAGGGTATTCTTCTACTGATTTCTCTCAATAGATGGACTCAGAATACTCATAGTGGTGACTCGTAGTGACTCAGCCAGTTTAGTAACAGTCTTTCACTCCCTTTTATTAACAGGTGTGCACTCATTCAAACCCCAGAGCTGTTGCAGACAGCTGACTACCCCAAAGTGTGAGAATTCCCAAACCATTCCTTGCCCCATCACCTCACTTTGGGATTTGATGCTCATATGGATCCTGTTGCATAAAACACTCATCTGAAAAGTACAAGAGCTGTTCTATGGCCAGTACCTACCAACATTCATCTCACTGAATGTAATAGTTGCATTTCCCATGACATGAGAATAAACTGAGCTGTTTTTTGCAGCAGGATCCTGGAATTGTTTTTGTTCCAGATGTTTAAACTGAGCTGTCTAAATAAATATTCCGTATAAAATGAAATTTACACTGTAACTTTATACTACACATGAATAACTACATTAAAAGAATTAATGCATGAATGGAGCTTTCCTACATTATTTTGATCAACCCCCTGAAATTCAAACTCATATCCCATGCATGCACAGTTTGCAAATGAAGCAAAATTTCTTGTCACCTGTGAAGCATGAAGAGTTGATTCCAAATCACCAGAATAACAATTGTAGTTGACAGTTGTGTAGCTTGAATGGCTCAGGTCCAAGTCAAAATGCTTTCTCAACTAAAACTTCAGAATTAAGAACATTCTTTTACTTTAGCATTTTACTATAACATCAAACCAGTAAGAGGACAAAGGAAAAAAACTTTCTCACAGTAATGAAAGTATCTTATTGAAATAAATAAATGTGCAATTCCACAGTATATTATACCAAGAATCTTAAAGTTCTTAACAAATAGCCTTTAAATACTTCACAGTAATACTCCTTTCAGTCTCATCTTTGTACTTTCTAACTCTTAAAGGAATAACTTGTTTGTTGTCAGAAGTGCATGAATACTATTAAAAAGAACAAAAGTAGAAGACTAGAGGCAAAACTAAACAACAGTTTCCTTTTACTGCCTTTTTTCCCCATAGCTAGTATCTTTGTGGAACTTTCATCACTGAGATCTTGATAGTTTTCCATACTGCCATCCCACATTAAAGTGATTGTTTTTAATTAAACAAAAATGTCCCTATTAATTATGAGTAAAAGAACTATTTTTCTGTGTTAGTAAGCACACAGGTATGTTTCCTTTGAGTAACTGGAGCAAGTATGGTCTGGAATACAGAAAAAAACAAAGCCACATCTCTCAGCAAGTAGTTGTGCTCACCTGGCTCTGGAAGGCACTAGTTCTGTTATTGTGTGACTATATTGAAATTATGCACTGAATACACAAAATACGTTTCTTGCCATGAACTTGGAAATTATATCCTAAGAATATGCTGTGTGAGTGTTCAGAGGTAAGCAGACTGCACAGTGAAACATCAGGTTAGATATTTGCTTTTATTTTTTAGCAGGTAAAAACAATTTGGTTACCACAGACCCACTGGGGATGCTGGAGCACAAGGTATGAAGGGGCTAAAGAATTGCAAAAGGGTTTAATAATCAGAAAAAATGGTATAAAATGAGCCACACAAAGATTGAGACTGACACAAGAGATTGAAAAAAGAGAACATTTAGAAAGAATAACAATCTAATGAGTATTTATTCTATGAATGCGTAAGGGCTCCTCCAGCATCTCTTCCTTAAGGTTCCTCACGTAAGCACCAGCCTGAATCTGCAAATGCTGCGTTATACTGTAGTAACAACACAATGGCAAGCAAAGAGCATGAACACATCTTTATGAATACGAACAAAGCAAAAAAAGTATTGTATAATCAAAGGCAGTTCGCTAATGCAAATGCAAACAAAACACTGGATTTTTTGTCTGAATTCTAGCATTTCCTTAGAGCGTTCATCAGTGATTACATTGGTAGCATTTTGAGTCACAGAATCACAGAATCGGCTAGGTTGGAAGAGACCTCCAAGATCACCAAGTCCAGCCTCTGGCCTAACACTAACAAGTCCTCCACTAAACCATATCACTAAGCTCTACATCTAAATGTCTTTTAAAGACTTCCAGGGATGGTGACTCCACCACTTCCCTGGGCAGCCCATTCCAATGCATCACAACTCTCTCAGTAAAGAAGGTCTTCCTAACATCCAACCTAAAACACCCCTGGTGCAACTTTAGCCCATTCGCCCTTGTCCTGTCAGCAGGTATATGGGAGAACAGACCAACTGCCACCTTGTTATAACCTCCTTTAAGGTATCTGTAGAGTGCAATAAGGTCAACCTTGAGCCTCCTCTTTTCCAGGCTGAACAACCCCAGCTCCCTCAGCCTCTCCTCGTAAGACTTGTTCTCCAGACCCCTCACCAGCTTTGTTGCCCTTCTCTGGACCCGCTCGAGCACCTCCATGTCCTTCTTGTAGCGAGGGGCCCAAAACTGAACACAGTACTCAAGGTGTGGCCTCACCAGAGCCAAGTACAGGGGGACAATTGCTTCCCTAGCCCTGCTGGCCACACTGCTTCTGATACAAGCCAGGATGCTGTTGGCCTTCTTGGCCACCTGAGCACACTGCTGTCTCCTATTCGGTCGACTGTCAACCAATACTCCCAGGTCCTTCTCTGCCAGGCAGTTTTCCAACCACTCATCTCCCAGCCTGTAGCTCTGCTTGGGGTTGTTGCGCCCCAGGCGCAGGACCCGGCACTTGGCCTTGTTGAGCTTCATATGGTTGGCCTCAGCCCATCAGTCCTGCGTATCCAGATCCTCCTGCAGAGTCTTCCTACCCTCGAGCAGATCAACACATGCACCTAACTTGGTGTCGTCTGCAAACTTACTGAGGGTGCACTTGATCCCCTCATCCAGATCATCAATAAAGATAGTAAAGAGAACCGGCCCTAATACTAAGCTCTGGGGGACTTCACTAGTGACCAGCCTCCAACTGGATTTAACTCTATTCCCCACAAGTCTCAGCATGAAAACACATTCAGTGTAGTTGGTAGCTTGAGTGTATTATTTGACAATTTCTAATTCTTTTCCAAATGCTAGTCTTCTGAAATAGGTATAACCCAGCTTCAAGGCAGTTACATTTTATTCCAAATCATCCAAGAACTCTACAATCTACAAATAATCAACAACACACTATTAAAAACAACACACTATTAAAAACAACACACTATTAAAAACAACACACTATAAAAGCTGAGTATTGCTGGCATTTATGTTCCCTGTATACCTGGGGGAGACTTCGGCCTTCGGGCTTCATTTTCTTTATTTATTGAAAATGAAAATTCTCAGGTGAGTACTGCTAACAGTCCAACTTCAAGGAGACAGCAGAATTAAATCTCAAATAAGTTACACCTCGGATGAGATTGGCTGAACTGAGGAGCTTAAGAAGGAGTTTTTGGTAAATAGAACCAATGGTATTGCAGCAATGTATTGTTTAAGGCAGCTGTAGCATTCTCTGCTGAATGAGATATTTTTAGCCTGTCTGCTTTAGCCTTCCACTGAGGCCAACTAATCCTCTGAGTGACAAAAAACATGCCACAGAAGAACCTGGAATCTGAGCTTCATTGGTAACAGTGACATCGACCTTGCTGACTCTGAACAAAACCATTTCTATTGTGCTGATATAATGGTTAAAACTGAACAGTTATGCCTGTTTCTTGCTTGTAGGAGAAGTTAGCTGATATTCAGATAGCTTCCTCTCATAGTTAAAAATAAAAAAATAAAAAATCAAGTATACTGTGGACACTGCTGAGAAAAGCATGGACAGTAGTACAGGCTAATGTCACATCTCAAAAGCACATGCAGCTATATTATTCCTTTATTTATTTACTTTGGTATTTATTTCTGGTTAAACTGAAGAGGTTTAATCCTAAAAAAACATGACATGTTTTGAAATATCTGTATTTAGGTCTTCTGTAGTTAACTAGTGAGAAGTTTCTTCCTGCTGCTTCTTATTCCAAAGCCTCATTTCATCATATTAAAGGAACCTACTTGACAGCTCATGACTTCTTTTATCTAGAGAAAATAACAGTTATCCAAGTGCTCACTAAACACTTCTGGTATATGTGAGGGACACACAGGCTGCAGTGCATGCTTCACAAGTCCTTTAACTTTGTTATCAAGCTCTGGCACAGCAGAATACATACCTCTTCATAATTCTCCAGCCATGGAGCAAGTTGTACTTGGCAGACTACTCACCATCAGATTGTACTTGCTTTAATACTTCCTTCTCATGTAAGTAATGAAGACTGCTCTGTGTAGTTTCAAGCCTGACACACTCTAGTAACACCTTATTCCTGCTTTTTAAGCAATATATCTCTTAAATGCAAAACAAAGCTTTTTTAAAAAAGCAAGGGGACTCAGATTTTCTAAGGTGGTCTTAGTACGCTATTGTGTAATTGAAATCTTCATGTCAACCTTCACACATCAATGAGATTGATCTGATTGTAAGCATTTATTTCACTGAAAACCATGCTTTACTGAATGTTTTGTCTCTTGCTGAGACTCCCTTTCCTGGCTGCTGTAGAGTTATATATCCCTAGACATATTCTTGGCTTCTAAGACATTTTCTGTTTTATCAGGGACCTCAAGTCCACAGCTGAGACTTGTTGTCCAAAAATTGTGCTGCACTTTGAGTGCTCCAAAGGCAAGCTTTAGCCTAACAAGGTTAATTTCCCCAGACTCCCCTTACTGGCTCCTTCAAATGAACCTACACTGAGAAGCATTGGGATAGCTAGGCTAAACTCAGCCTTCATTGAAATACCACCCTTACTACCTTAATTAACTT